AGGGAATACAGGCCAGTCCAAGCGCGTCACAGCAATGTTCATTCTCCAACCCGACACTCGTGGTTACAAGCGTTAACAATCTTATTGGACCGTATCTAACCCTCTAACCTAAAAGAAGGTCCGAGACCACGAAAGGGTGCCGAGTATAATTTCAAACTATGATATCTACACTTACCTCTTCAGAAATCTTGACGGCGTATGACGAATCGAAATAATCGAATCCGAGCCGAACAAGATACAATACCATGGCTGGGTCGAAAGCTCCAGCTACGAACCGTAACCGTGTGGGTGGCAGAGGACCCTCAAATATGCAAGAGAACAAGGGGTAATAAATCGAAAGTGAGGCATGTTAAGCAGCGTAAGGTGCCACAAATACTGAACTCACGAATGTCTCTTCAATGAGTTTTTTCAGTTCGTCTTTATCAACTTCGTTGCCATGTGTGAATTCTTGCAAATCGACCTAAAAACTTCCAATTGTGAACATGAGCGTGGGTTCGTCTAGGTAAAAAACGAACCCACCGAGTACCCATCACATCTTTTGTTGAGACCGATATCCACAGCACACTTTCTGCGATAATAATCACTGAATCCACCGCCTAACGACACAATCACAGCTCCCTGAAGCGAATGCTGATAGATGCACATTATCAGAAATGCATCTACATATTATAATGCGTATTCTCTAGCAACCCAGTGGCGTATTTAGAAATTTCTTGCGCAAAAGGAACCACTCTAATGGGTAAGAGAAATTTCACATAAGCCCATAAGTGAAGCTCTGTGATGAGTGAACCAACTCCTTCCTTTCAACTGCAGTACCAATGTCGCATATGGAGCTCTTCGACTTCCAACTTATTAGAGTTGCGCCACTTCAAATTTGATTTTACTATGAAACTTTTCGAAATATTGATGTATGGTACCTCAGGAGTCTCATCGTGATCCGCCAACAATTCGAAGAACGTCCTCGTTCGATCTATTCCTTTCGAAAGTCGTTTGTTTAGTGAACCTCGAGGTGCGTCATAATCCAGTATAGTGTCAAAAGAATCGCACATGAAGTTTCGGACAATCTCGCGGTACAACCGAGGATCCAACTAAAACGCTGAAGGATTAGCGAGCTCTTTGGTCTCTTTCAGGTTCAACCTTTCTGGTTAGTTATATCTATCAGGCTTGGTGTAGAGACTAAAGGCTCCGCCTACTACATGCGCAGTCCGAAGATCAAAGCATGAACCGGCAGACCTTCTGTGTCTCCATGTGAGCTAAACTGGTATCGGTCTTGTCCGATAAGATAAAAAACACTGACTGTATCGTCTACATCGCAAAGGAAAAGGGGCGCCCCGGCGTAAACCAGTTGACCACACGTTCTCGGCATTTTCTCTGTTTGTGTACTCGCCGCTCCCACAGCTACGCCCTCTGCTTTCCCCAGTTTTTGGCACTATAATCGAACTGCTACCACAAATTATTTAAAGGCAGCGTGCGCGTTCAGTTGAGATTTTCCTTTCCCTTTGTTAGCAGGTAGTCAGGTCCGCAGAAGCAACAACACTTTTGCGGCACAAAAACGAGTGTGTGGAAGCCCAAGACGCCGTCGTTCTTATCATTGGACCCAACATACAATCGTTGGCACCGCCCTCCGTTCACTTTTAATGGTTACCGGATGGTGCGGTTGTTCCATTGCTGCTTCTCTCCACGTCGAGTGGTGAGAGTGAGGTGATAAGGGAAAACAGCTGATATCAACAAGTGAGAACTCGTGCGACCGCACCTTCTCTTCGCCTTGAGCACGTACAACCTCAGTTAAGCAAGGGGTTCTATATAGAGCCTTTCCTATGATTTCTTTCTGATTTTTCTTCACTAAGGGGTTACTTGCTACCTTGTTATAAGTATTTGAGCCGCATAACTCATCAAATTTGAATGCGGGCTCAGCCTTTAAGTGAAGTTGCAATCAAATGCCACAACACTCGCGAGTAGTAAGTACCGTGCATGGCGCACCTCAAAAAGTGACTGACGCACCGAGATCATTTATCTTGGTAGGGTAACGCTTTGCTAATGACTGAAAGCACAATCACCATTCTCTTCCCTCCTTTTGTAAAAATGGCGATAGATTTGGTATCATTGAATCCAGATCTCGTTTCACCCAGAGGATCACGTATTTGAAGATGAACTGCTGAATTTTTCTGAAGAAAAGTAAATAAAGAAGTTCCGCGAAAAACTCAAGTAAGCCTATGCGATTGCAAGAAATACTGAAATATGAAGGAAACTATATACCGGTACTCCACAGAACGCTGGAGCTCCTTTTCCAAACTTTTGTACCACTTTTAGGGAGTCAAACCTGGAAGCAAGCCTTTCAAGTGGTACTGGCAGAGACGATAAGTGTACTTGAAGTTGTTCATTTCTAATGAAAGCTTACAGAGCCGGCAACGTAAACTGATAGACTGGAGTCTGGTTAAACTTTAAGCATTTCAGTGCAACATCCCATGTCAGATGAGGTATGTGTCCTGCTCTAAGGTATATCATGCATGAAGGTGTTGCATGCTTCAGCATATGACGGCCTGAACAGTTGCTATTTGTGTTAGTTCTTGTGTACATGACGAGGTAGGCAGATGAATTCATAAAATTGGCCCAACCTTTCGACTGAATCGTCTCGTCGGAGGCTTAAAAAAGGATCGAAATACAGATAAGCTGTTCCAACCTTCTGTCGGGAACTTCAAAGTGAAGTGCAAGTAATTCAGAGATCAACCTCACCCGGAATTCCACCTTTTTGAGCGGAAAAGTGCGCTATCACACTTTAGTATTTGTAACTGGCGAATATGTATACTCTACCGCCTCCTAATATTAGTTAATGTGGAAGACGCACGTAACGCACTTTGATGTGGTACCAGTGCGTTATAAACGGCGAGACCTCACTGGTTATCAAAGGACGCTCATCACAGTCGCTCATAGATGAATCAGTAGAAAAACAGAACGCTTCTGAAGCTTTTCTGTGGCTCTCCTAGCCTTGAATAGTTGTATTCTGTGATGAAACACAGCAAGCCTCAACAGATCCGTGCCAACAAGTAAGATGTACCGGTGCGTCAATAACCTTTGTGTTTTCAGTGTTTTACTGCTTGGGAATCGACAGTTTGCAAGAAAGGCATGTAAGCTCGCGGATAAATTCCATCAAGTTTGAAAAGAACCAGGTTATTAAAAGCGATTTCACAAAGAGGCTTCCCATGGGGTTCCGATGAATCACACCGGAGTTCAGCCTTGCCCGTACATAAAAACTACTGCAGCAAGGAAAGCATAACATTGAACATTCAGTAGGGAACCAGCACAGAACGTGACTTCATGCTGAAGATAAACCTCGGAACTCAACTTTCACTATGCGAAATATGTAGTAGACCTCAGATGGAACAGTACACTGCGTTCGGAATTAAAGCATATCGTGGAAAACGGAAGTGGTCCCACCTCGGAGACGTTAGAAAACATCCAAAAACATCCATCTCTTCCATACCTCCTCCCACAGGTTTTTGCTCCAAAGAGCTGAGCAATAGGCGGTAGAGGCGGTAACCACTACCCCAATGTGCCTGCACAAATGGTGTAATGCATTAGACTTGAAAGACCGTTGTCACTCCTCAGCGTTCCCAACAAGATGAACGTAAAACTTAAATAAATAAATAAATAAACTCACCCCATGACTCGATTATTCCGCTTCGCCCAAGAGCACTTTTCTTCTGCACTACGAAATCGACCATCTTGAAATTATCACATACTTTCCATGAAGTGTGACTTATCATATCTATCGGGCCGTTTTAACAATGTGTACCTTTCAAGGACTCATTGTGCAAAAGAGGAGCAACCATAAAAGAGATTCGGACTTTCGTTTTAAAGGATGGTGTCCGCTAAGTGGTAATCTATTCGGATGGGCTAATCCCAGTTTTGCATAAGAAGACCTTCGTCAATAAGGACTGCTTCCTCGCGCTAGGCTTATAACGGCCGATTATACTATCTAGATTTTTAGTATGCTTTAAAAATACTTTCAGTCGTACGGGTACGGACATTCTTCGTAGAAAGACAGAGGACATAATAATTATTTACCATCTCTTTGAAATAATGTTAATAAATAATACATACAACAATGTGGAATCTTCAAAAAAGTACTAATTTAGAAGACAACTTTTAACATGAAAAGGTGAATATTTATGAGCACTGAACGGAAGATTTATGCCTGCCTCCATCACCTATCCGTCACCGGCTGCCCGCCTCCTGCCATAAAGTTGAACTTTAGGTTCAAATGCAACAATAAACCACTATTGCAAAACAAGGTATCGGAAATTGGGAGATCCATTGAGACAGAATCATTTTTGCACAGCATAATCACGATACTCTGGCTTCAGCTCCCACATGCTTTTATGAGGTGGAGCAGTATTGTACACAGCTATCTCCGTCAGAAGCTCTTTCACATATCCAGCAGGTTGCTGTGTTAATTGCTGCAAGTCTTGCAACCTGAAATAGGAGGATTTCATAGGAGCTGTTTCCAGATATAAATTGGCCCAACCAAAAAAAATTAAGCGATTAATTAATTAAATATTGAATTAAAAAATTTTCTATTAGGGCACTTAGGGTATAGTGGGGAAATGCAGTGAACAGAATGTTATGAGCCAGTGACTTTTCCCAAAACTTGGATGGGAAGAGCTTCGGGGTAAGTGATTTGTGTTGCTCAAAGAGTCGCTATTTGTAACGCATTTGGCCAAAAATGCCGCAGGTAACTGAAACGGCACCAAGTTAAATAGAGCGAGGGCAGATGCGGAATAGACTGAAATACAGGCTCGCTAAAATTGGAGAGGCACTATGCGCTTCAGGTGGAGCCATTTGCAATTTCGTATCAGCGCCACTATTAAATATAGCTCTTCAGAAGGAACATGCTTCACAGTAGGTGAACAACTGTAAAGTCTTTGCCGTTAATTAATCCCTTCCTGAGATACGACAAGCATTCGACTTCATTCAGAATCGTAGAGGCTTGGACGCGATATGGCCTATTCAATGACTTGCGGGGCCCCAGCCGACATACAAGTCACTGTCCTTACCCTCCCAGAAAAATCTGGTACCAATAAACAATCTCTGGAGGCCAGAAACTTGGTTGGCCTGGGCGGAAGCCGACCCGGGGAACAGTTATCATTTGTGAGAAATTGGGATGCCTGAAAAGGCATTTCCTATGCTCCCCTTCCCCTCAGAATCACAAACTACTGCTAGTTTACTAGAAATCGGTGCGGAATTCAGAATGGCCGAGGCACACGACAAAGAGCTTAACCTACCTATAGTACTGATGTTTTTCAAAAGCGTGGAACAGAGCTTGCATGAGCACATTACGATCTGCTCGCACTGTCTTTGCTCCTTCTTTCTTCTGTTTGATTCTCATCATATCCTCAGCGTGAGCGGCGACAGGTTTGAATTTGACGGCAGCCTAAACATATGGCCCTCATAATGTGGAGGAAACCAAAAGCACTAAGGAGTAACGTGCAATACCTTCTCCATCTGTAATACTTGTTTCTTTGGTTGGCCACTACTAGAGATTTGAGCAATTTTCATTTTCAAATAGCTGCTTGACGCTGGAGGGCGACACTCGGCTCGTTTCACTACTCGTCCCTCTATGGAAAGACGCCCCGGCCTACAAAACAGTTATTCTTAGTAATTACTATAGTAAGCAACAATGAGGTAACGTTTCTGCAAAACGCAAAAGTTTGCCGCCAGCAGGGGTCGAACCTGCGACCTTGGGCTTATTAGACCCACGCTCTAACCGACTGAGCTATGGCGGCACGTACGCTGTTTCTCTTGTCGGCGCTCACATACTTGATTTCTGCTTCCTCGTTCAGGCCAGTCTTATCTTCTGCAAGTACAGCCATTGTCTGGTTGAGCACGTCACCGAGAATAAAGGAATGTTCATCGGGAATTTTCGCAGGACCTGAACTACTTCACAAAGTAATCTAAGTTCAGCAAGTATTGACGCGCAGCTGCAGTTAAAACAGCTCAAAATAATGAGCTGAGAATAAATGTACAAAACAATGACCAATCAGTCTACCTTTCAAGGTCGAGGAGACAGACTGCGGCAAAACTAGGCCAGGACGGGATTTCAATTTCACCTAGAAAAAACACACTGTCGAATCAGACGAATATTGTACAGTATTTATATCGGCACACATGCACAAGCGAATAAGATAAAAAAACTAAATCGAAAACAAAATAATTTTCATGCATAAAAGTGAATGAATACACTTTTCCCCCATATAACCTACTCTCCGAAATTTAGTCGGGATTTTCACAGAGTGATATAGAGAAAATGACATGTTGTTATTGGAGATCTAATTGGCTGCAAACGAACAACCCCTATGGGGTGAATGATCCCCGTGAACACTAATATCTATCGTTTAGTTGCGAGAACCCCTGCGCCAGCGCTATAAGCGTCAACGCGACAGGCCTGCTTTGACGCCGGCGGGTCAGAGCAGGCCTGTCGTGTTGCTCTGACCTTGGCGAGTACCAAGCGTTTTCGCGTTATGCAGACGTCAGACTGTCGTGTAGATTGTGTGCCCATTCAGGACTAACTTCTCAGTAAATCTGGTGATCTGAAGCCTATTGGGTCGAGAGCGCTAGTTCTCGCCTAGAACCTATACCAATACGACATTCAGGCCCAATGAATCAAATTATTTTAGAAGGCTAAACTTCCAGGCGAGTTCGCCCACAAAGAAAGATATCGATGGAAAGCCCAAATTTTTGCAGTAGCTCTGCAAACAGCAAATAGTGCCAACAAATAGAACGGAAGATGATAGAAGACGCAATCACTAAATGATGCATGAAAGCAAAAAAATTCGAGACTCACATCTCCTTTCGGGTTTGTACTATTTTGTATAACTAGCCGACCCACATCTGTACCTGCATTTGCCTCCCATAGATCAGATAGATACCTTGGCACCTAGATGTATCATCAATACAGCAAGATACAATGAATGATGGGAAATAAAACGTAAAAAAACAACAGTAGAATGACTCTTTCGAGGAAAATACCCACCTTAACTAACCACACACCCCGTTTACCCATCTCACAATCGACGGCATGCTCGCGCTTCCGAGACATGGTTTCTGAACTGTGATTAGGTGATTCTTTCCAAATAAAAGCTTTTTCTAGCTCAGGTGTACCTAAGGCTCGTTACTTGTCAAGAGGCAAAAGATGGTATATCATTCAACACATAAAATGAGATGTTGTGTCATCCAATACGCCAGTGACGACGAAACCTGTACTCAGGCCCTGCTGTTGGGGAAAATTTTTGTAAGAAGAGAACACTTTTTCCCGAAATGTCCTTCCCTGGTACAACCCCCTTCCCCTGAGTTCACGAAACAGAGAAAAGTCAGTAACCAAAAACATTTCCTTGGAATCAAAGACGACCCCCTCCCTCCAGTGACCCACTACCACCCACTCGCTGAGGATGCCCAACGAACGACGTGCCCTGCCTGTATTGCACCATTTTCAAACCGCAAAATTAACGTGTTACAAGAAGTGAGTGACACTCCACTATCTCTTAACAGGTTACGTACTGGATCGAGTACTTTTGCTATACTCAGCGCCCGGCACGGTTCGGCTTGGAGGGGACAGCTGTGCACACTTCCACACACACGAATGGTATGGTACGCCGTAATGATGAACTAGTGTTTGGTCATGCTTCCTTCTTATGCTTTGTGCTCCGAAAAGCAAATGTAATTTATAACTGGCGAAAAAACTTGAAATGCCGAACTGGCTGTTCTCGTGCAGTTTCAGGTCAATCATTTGATTGCACAGATGCCTCTTCCGAAGCGAACTGTGCCCCGCGCTCCTGTTCACAGTCAAAGTAGATTAACGCAAAGAGTACTGTCAGCAGCGAATATACGCTAACGAATCAATGAATAATAACAATAATTATACAAGAATATTTATGGAGCAATACGAAGTGTACACACAATCAAACCGAAGGCCATAAACAAAACAACAACAATGTAATCTTCGCCTTGATTCTCTAACTGTATAGGCAGATCCAAGGATAGTAGTGGAAACATTATTTTAGTGGAAAGTAAGCGGTGCAAGACACAATATCGGCAATTTTCTATTTTTTTCCAAACGCGATAAGATGAACTTTCAAAGAACAGTTCAAGTACGTCTTGAAAATATACAACGGACAAAAACAATCACATTGCTAGACCAGAGTTTCTATTATCACACACCAAAAAGGCAAAAAGCACTATTTACCGTTCACTGACCCTTTTCGAAGTTTGAGCAGTTTGTGCAAAAAACTCAATTTCACAAAGAGGTCATCACCGGAGATGTTGGCACTAGAAGTTCTCGCGCTAAGCAGGCAACATGACCGTGTTCAGCGTAAATCCGCGTACAAATTTCCAACCAAATCTATTTCTGGGGACGAACATCCATAAAATTTAGCTCAAGTTCCGAAAACTGAGGGTAACAGGAAGGGTATAAAAGTGCAGGGAAACCAGGGAAGTGCAGGGAAATAGTGATGATGAAAATAAGAATCACATCAAGACGCCACAAATAACCCTATCGAGTAGTGATCAAGAAGGAAGCGATATATCCAAATTCTGTCTAAATTCATTGCAACATACCTTAATTTTTCAATCGAACTATTGGAATGAATCCAAGCTAAACCTGCAGTCACTTTAGATTAAATTTGAAGTTTGAACTCAGGAGTGAAAGAAGACTGTCAAAAACTTGTAGACTTCATAAAGGCGGTATGCTAAGAGAGGACCTCCTCTCATCTGAGAAAAGGCGTGGAAGCAAGCGAAAAGTTGAGATAAGCCTAGCGCGGAGGAACTCACAAGCTAATTAGGAGGCAAAGATACCGGAAGCTGAATTCAACAATGAAAAGTTCTCAAAACGAAGACTCCAATGTGAAAACCAACATACTGCTCAGTTTCCAGACGAAGACATATAAGCAAGCTCTGATACAGATTTACGACAATCGTTAATTTCAATTCAGATTTGGTAGAAGAATAGGAAAAACAATCTTTTCTGAGCAGTCGTCGTTCCCAAAAGTGGATGAAATAAAGAATGATTTCAGCTATTTAAAACAAATCTGAAGAAGAACTTAAAAAAATGTGAACCTTTAGTCAGACTTTTGGGGAGTTATTTTCTCCTTTATAATCTCGTTCAGCTTACTGGTATCCAAATTAGCCCATTGCGGAGGAGGTGGCAGTGTGAAGCCAGACATCGCTTTGCGAATAGCTTGAATTTTCTCTAAAAAAAGGAGATAACGACGATATTTCGGTAAGGTACGCAACCAGTAACACCAACCATCATCTAGGACGATGTTATTCGGCCGATGTGGTATTGCTTCATCTTGGAAGCTTTTTAGTGAAGTATTCTGCTCTTGAACAAGCTAGAAAGAATTTTTTTTGAAAAAAAAGAACAAAGACCTCCAGAACAGAATAAGCTGGAAGAAACCAGTGGCTACCTTCTCGAACTCCTTCCTGATCGGATAACTGACAGCTCTGTTGCTAACAGGCATGTCTTCATCGTCACCGTTGTTGCCATCAGAACTAGTCGGCTCGTTCTATACAAGTTGCATTCGTTTTGTATTTGAGTGACCATGAAGTCAAGTAATCTAACAAGAGCGACTAAGGGAATGAAGAAAGCCACTTGAAACAGGCGCTAGTTTGAAAGTCTGAACACTTACCTACGTGACCGTAGTCCTTGTCGCGATTAGGGAAAATGGGTTCGCAGACCCATTTTCCCTAGCGCGACTTTCCCCGATCTACGCGCAGTCGCGCGGAAAGCCGCACGCTCAACCATGGCCACAACGCCACTTCTCTGTGCCTTCTCACTGATTGTTCTTTACTGCTGAATGCGCGTTTCGCAGTGGACCACATCTTTGCTGAGGGATCTTTGTATCCTTGCGAGTGCTACATCTTGTGGAGAGCTGGTGGAGTCTGACACGGCATTCCCCTGCTACGGACGTTCACATCCTCTTAGTAGATATTACTAATTTGTGAGGGAATACATGTGCTGTTCATGAAGACTCGGGCCAAACTTATCAATATACAAGAAAAACCGTAAATTACAAAAGAACACACTTGGTCTATCCCTTCATCACAGCTAGTAACATTCCCGGAAACGCGTTCTTCCATTTGAAATGGGAGTGTACGGTAACCTGCATGCTCAGGAACTTCTTCATCGTCCAGATCGATGTCATCGTCGGTATCCGGATCAGTGTCAGGGAAACCTTCAAAAGAGCGATAAAGGACACGGCGCCGTTCGCCTTAGCGGGACATGTTGCATGTTTGCCAGTTCTTTGAGAGTGCGTTCATACTTCGGCAGCGTTCTGAGCGTTTGTGGCACTATGAGCGCTTTGAGCGACTAGGAAAGTACATGTGTCGACCCGGCGTTTTAAGCGTTCACTAGTGTTTCGAGCGCTTCAAGCGTTAAGATTTTGAGCGTCTATAAGCATTTTTAGCATCTGACAGCGTTCTAAGCGACTAAGAATATACATGTATAAATTATCGCTGAAAAACGCTGAAGTACGCTCAAAACGCTGCCGCGCAGTACGAACGCACCCCCACTACATTGAGACATGTAAACTCTTGTGAAGTTGTGAAATGTTATGAATTCCATTATACAGGCTGTATTAGCATCAAAAACATTTTTCAGGGCTTCACAATGAGGCCTGTACAAGTTTCGCATTTCACCACTTCACAGCTTCAGTATGTGCACGTCTCGAAGTCGAGGGGATGTAGCAAAACGGCCCCTCCAAGGCTAATTGTGCTAGAACGAAGAAATACTCTATAGCACATGAGAAGACAAAAATCAGTGAAGAACTGACGAACCCGATCCATCGCTTTCACGGTCGTCCGCAATCCCAACGCCATTCATTTCGACTTCGTAACCAACCCTCCATCCGTCAACTTCATGGGCCCGGACTGCAAGGCTTTTACGTAATTTGAAGATAATGAAAGGGAAGTTGGAAGCAGGAAGGAGTGCGACCACACTTCGCGCTTTGGTCACTCTAATTGCGCGATCAAAGCGAATAAATCGCGAAGTATAAATGCCCTCCAAGCGGATCATGCTCGACAAAATACAAAAGACTCACATTCGTCATTGCTATCTTCGCCACCGTTCTCAAGACGAGATTCCTTTCGAGGAGTCATGCCTATTTACAACTGGAAACTGGAAGTTTTTCATTAGACTCTAATATGCTCTAGTGATCTGCTGTCACACGAGAAAGCACAAGAAATGGAGTCATTGGTAGGCTGCATTCCCACTTTGGCGACTTTTCAGAAGATCCACGGTCTTAGAAGAATACGCGTTAAGTAGAGATATCGATATGGCGTCTCGAAAAAGCTGGAGTTTGAGTACAATAGGTGTCTGAGCGCGGATAGGCGCCCGAATCGACGATTCCCCTGACTCGTAAACTACGTACACGGTCTAATGAACAGGCGAACGAATTTTTTTACTCCAGCATTTGAGCTTGAAGACTGACAAAAAATTTCAGTAAACCGAGTCGCACCAAGTTAAATAGGCTTTGGTGCATCTCTGCCAATCTTTATTCGTCCTCTGTGAAAGAAAACAATTACCGTTCTTGGTTATGGGAACAAAGAAGGAAATCTGAGTAACAGAAAGAAGTGCACACAGTAAAAACTGGAAAACAAAATGTGCATGATAACATCACCAGAATTCATCTACTGAGATCCTTATTCTGGAAGTCTGGAACATGCAACTGGCCGTGAAAAGAAGAATCACGAATGGATCTGCGACAGCGTCAGCATCAGTAAACAGCATCAAGCGCAAGTCTTTGCAATACGGCAACTTTAGTGGGCGAACAACCATACACCGTAACCCAAATGAGCCGTTTATAAATCTGTATGCACACCAAACACAGTATCTCACGACAACAACGTCGAAATTGCTCGGGGAACGTGAACGCGGTTAGATTCCGCACCCGACTGTTACCACGCGCGCGCAAATTTGAATTCAAACTGTAGTTTGAATTCTCTCCCGCGCGTGCAAATTTTGAACACAAAAACAGCATTCGCTGAAGATTTTCTCTTATTTAGCAATGAGAACTTATTCACGAAGCTATTTCTTCACTGTTCTGCTGTTATTCGCTATTCTGCTGCCCTTTGCGTCCACATCGTCAATACTCTAGTGAATTCTTCCTGGCCTTTTATGAGTGTGTTCTTCAGCTATTCAGTGTGTTCTTCTGCTATTCACTATTGTGGGTATTTTTTTTCTGTGTATTCTTCACTGTTCTGCTACTCTCTCCTTCAGGTCACCAAATCTAACAGGTAAGACGTGATCATTACTCCGCTATTGATTTCTAGACAGTTTCTCTTCTGCATGCAAAGCTTCGTTGAAGTTTTTCCTAAAGCTTTTTCCTAGCCTTCTTTTTTTGATGGCATTGCATTTTCATTGTACTTATTTCTCTTTTGAATGTTGTTTAAATTACTCACTATGTCTGTCTTGTGTTGCTCGCGGAAGGGAACCCATACAGTCCAGGTTCTCTTTCTTTTCTTTCGAAGCTTTGCATGGGTTATCGCGAGGAACTGCTACGCGAACCCCTTGTGAAATCTCGAGATAGCCTGGAAAGGTTCCTGAGGCCTCAGAACATTTGTCCACCACTGAGCCTCAACATCCGCTCTCCGTTCACCTTCCTGCTTTTCCATTCACCCTTCCCTTATTCCTCATCTCATCCCGTTTGCTCATTTTCTCCCTTCCGTTCGATCAGAGGATGCTCCACACGAAGTGTCACCCTTTCGTGAGTAGTGAACACCTCGTGACATAGTGCGTGATTTACCTCTGCAAGACCTGCCTCCCTGCTAATCCCTTCGCGGATTTTCGACACCTTATCCGCAAAAAGTGTGATGGAGGACTCCGAGAAATAAGCAGGAGTTTTTCTTTAAAATAACTTTTTTACATACTGGAAATGTCGCGTAAATAGGAGCCACGTTGATTGCGGCGTAACTAGCTTCAGCACTAAGTAGATCAAACAGTCGACGTGGGTAGAATGGCGAGCTGATAGGAAGATCACGAAGATGCTATCTGCCCTGCGAGGGTTTAGAAGTATTTTGTGCATCTTCTGATCGAATATTGGGAGGGAGGAAATAAGCAGATGAGATGGGAGGAGGAATAAAGGAAAGGAGAATGGAAAAGCAAGAAGGAGAAAGGAAAACGGAAGTTCAGGCAGGCTCAGCGATGGACAGATATTCCGAGGCCTCAGGCACCTTTTCAGGCTTATCTCGACTACTTCAACAAGGGAGTTCGCGTTAGCAGCTCTCGCAAAACAACCAATGGGAAAGCTTCGAGGAGAAACCTGACTGTATAGGTCCTCTTCCGCGAGCAACATAAGACAGACACAGTGAGTAACTTGAACGAAATTTGAAAGAGAAACAAGTATTTCATTATATATTAGTATTATTAGTATATTAGTGCAGTCCCTGATGCTAAACGAATGATCAAAAAAATGCTAGGGAAAAAGACTAAAGAAAGCTTCGCATGCAGAAGAGAACTAACTATCCAAAAATTAGCGGGGTATTGATTACGTCTCACCCGTTAGATTTGGTGGCATGGAGGAAGACGGAAAAACAGAATTCGTGTGAAAAAATACCACACTAGTGAATATGCAGTTATCAGATTGAAGGGTTGCGCAGACCTTCATCCGATGGGTGTAGCGGTGTTCTATGTATGAACATTGAACTGGGTTATATAAATGTTTATTAGATATGGATACGATACATAGGGAAAGGGGGAGAGGAGAGGAGGAGGCCGGCAGAGCCGGGCCGAGGCGTGAGACGACCAGCTCCTAACGTAGGTGACGAGGCGAAGCCATTCCATTCCATTGCTGCCGGCTGGCAGCAGCTTAAGTACTCATGGCCGCCGATGACGAAAGGCTGGACGGCAGGTGGCATGCGACGATTGGCTCCTCTTGCCTTCGCAACGAGGATACGACATCTCCATTCCTTACAGTAAGCTCGTCCTCGAGCTTTGAGCTTCCATCATGTTGTGTTGAAGTTCTTCTCGCAAGTGTCCTTGAACGTATAACAGGATGCATACTGACTGGCGAGACAAATGTATACAAGCGAAGTCTGATGAAATAAAAGAAGCTTGTGTTCACTGTGCGTGATGTAATAATCCAACATGATTCGGCTACGCGAGGTGGTACGACATTGAAGGAATTCGTGCGATGATAAGAGGCGATTGAGTTGTATAAGGAGCCGTTTGAGAGCCAAAGAAGAAGAGCCGGTTCACTCCCTCTCCAGAGAACATGCCAGCCGTCCTCGGAGCTTTAAAGCGTAGGGCGGGGGGGAAAATTTTGGGGATACATCGAAGCTTATTATGCAAAGTTACTCTATGAGTTATTGTTGTACAATACTTGTTGAGCGAAATTATGTGATTCCTATAATGGGTTTTCCCCATAGTAAAAACAAGCAACGATGTTTGACTACGAGTTAGATAATTGCTCATTTTAAACAGTTTTGTGATAAAAAGAAATGGTGAAAGGAACAATATGTATGTTAAATGGAGCGACGATACGAATACTAGTCTGTTGCACTGCACTCTGTTTTTGCGACTAGTATAAGAACAATAGTATGAACTATGATACGGATACTAGTCTGGTTTTTATAACACAATATGTCGACTAGTATAAGGGCGTGTGAGAAAGTGCTACTGTTTTTAATTTGACACAAGAACGCTGCCTGAGTATTCTTTGAACCGCCAATTCAAAGAATTGTGATGTGATTTTCGCGACAATGCGGCTAATGGAAGGAAAACTAAACTTACCGAAGGCTACTGTATTATGAAACAAGTAGTCCTTTGGTGATCATTCCTGATGTGCTAGAAGTGCTTGTTTGTCCTGAAGACGACGTGAACGTCGTATTACTGGTTGCTCTTTGTCGAGTGATGTTTCCGTGGTTGATAGAGGTGGTTGAGGTTGTGAAATTTAGGGTGGGAACATTATTCGGCAATGAGCGAGGAGAATACACTTTCAGTCTGTTAATATGCACTGTCTGTCGCGTGGGGCGACCTACTAGGTTAGTTATCGTTATGTTGGGACGTTGTATGTCCTGAACGATGAAAGGGCCTTTCCATTGGTTTGTCAATTTTGGACGAACAGTGTCGTCATGCAAAAGAACTAGATCGCCAATGGAAATGTCCTTAGGAAATACCTTGTGTAGAAGATCATATCCCAGCTTGTACAGTTCTGATTTCCGTGCAATTTCGTTTCCAACTTCCATAATTGTGTTCTTCAGGGCGGCTGAGAACTGGTCCGCAAAATCGTCTGATGCGAAAATGAGACGTGTCGGAAGCTCATGGAGAACATCACTCCATGTGATGGGAGATCTACCGTGTACAATGAAGAAAGGGCTATATCCTGTAGTAGTATTTGTGCTACAATTATACGAGAAAACAATGGGCTGTAAAAAATCAGACCAAAGGTCTCTAGCATCGGAACAATATGCTGTGAGGGAGTCAGTGATCACTTTGACTAGCCTCTCTGCTTGTCCGTTTGCCTTGTGATTGTAGCTTGTTGTGAATTTATTAGTGATACCTAATGATTTGTTGATCTTTCCAAAAAGTTCACTGGTATAATTCGAACCTCGGTCGGAAACGATTTCCGTAGGAATACCGTGCTTTGAAATCACATCATTAATCAATGATTTTGTAACCGATTCTGAGGTTTGATCTACTAAAGGACTGCAGATAACGAATTTACTAAAAGCACATACCGTTATTGCAATAAATTTGCTTCCATCAATACATTCACCGACGATGAGCATGCCGAAAGCATAGAAGAAAGTGTGGTGGGTTTTTTTTTTTTTTTTAATTTTTTTCAACTGATTAGGTGTGGGTAATTTCCAGATGGAGGAATGTGACATGTGCCGTCCTCAATGGGCCAATGCTGGTGAAATGCTGCAGGAGTTAAAAGGCCTAGAGGATGAATGCCTGAGACTGGCCGCCACCTATCGTGCTGTTGACGAGGAAAACCGAGCCGCTGCTCGGAAATGGGATAAAGAGCTGCAATGGGAGGCAGCTAAATACCATAGGGCGTTGAAGGTGAGTCCTAACGGTTTGGGAGGAAATTTTTTTATTGTGGAACTTTGCTTTGCATTCAAGTCTCCTTTTTTTGATGTGCTGGTTTTAGGAAAAC